GCGCGTTTTTTTGAATTTTGAAAAAACGCGCGCTGTCACGTCTGTCAACATTTATAGACAGATTGGCGCGTTTTCCCGACTTTTTGGCGCTCGAGAAATCCAGAACGATCCTAACGAACGCGCACTTCGCGCTATCAGTCAAAGTTAGTTCAAAGTACGGGACAAATCCACCTGCCACCTCGCGAACTTCCCGCAACAGGGCAAGTCCCTTTGCGCGAGGAGTGGGGGGCAATTGATGAAGGAAGATTTGGCCCGACCTCGTAACCGCTCAACACGTGGCAAAGGCAACAGCTCAGCACAACAGCACGCCCAAGGCGCGAGCTCCAAAGGGAGGAACCAGCGGTCCGAACTCCCTACAAGGAGCCCGAACTCCCTACAAAGAGCCCGAACTCTGCGAACACAAAGGGCAACAACCTGAACTGGCCCGCCCCCTGGCAATTCGAGCCACACCTCCATCCGAACTCGAGACTTCACATCGCACACCACTCCGACACTTCGCCTCCAGGACGCCGAACTAAACAACCGTACCGTACCTGACACCGAAGGAGTCTGTATCCTGAGGCGGCGCACCTGACTGATTTGGGATCTAACGCTTGACAGCCGCACTTCAACGACCACCTGCCACCGCCACCTGCCACCGCCATCTCCAGTTACAGAGACAGCTCCGACAAAGAAAGCAGTGGCGGTTCTGCCCCAGCAGAGGTGGTGACACCCGAATTGGCAGAAGTGCAGGGGTAATCATACCCGACCTGACAGAAGCTTAGGAGTGAGTGCGCGAAGTGGTTATAAAAGGCCTCCTTCCCCCCAAGAAGAGAGGTATGTGATAACTTTGCGCCATCTGGTTTTTATCTTGCCCTTGAGGAAATACTAACTCGAGCTTCGGAGCATTCTCACCACATTCTCCCCCGGAGATTACTCGCTTTCTCCTTCATTTCAGGCACCTTTTGTTCCAGCCCGAGGCAAGATCTTTGACAGATAGGACCGGCCGGATTGCACACCATCAGGTCTCATTAATATGTACCAAGAAGGTACCAAGCTTTGCCATATAGTCAAAGCTTGCACTTCTCTTCTAGGCTATTCGGTTCCCCAACCTCCACCATGAGAGAGCACTTATCGCATTTCCAGAAACACCCTAACAGGAGGCTGCCACACCACCACTAACAAGAAACCAAGAAAAATGAGAACCAAGGTTTTAAAACCATTGCGAATTCTAGATCAGAGATTTTTTTTTGGCCCATCCCCCAACCCAAGTGCAGGCGGGATTTGATCCCAAGTCTTTACTACGTCCAACAGAGACCTTACCATCGAGTTGGTTGGCACCTTGCTCTACATAAGAGCATTGAGTTGTGCAATGTGGAAATTTTACTTAAATGGTCCATGTTACATGGACTGCATTATGAGAAGAATTATAATAACCTGGGTATGCTATATTACAGGTCATATCATGGGTATGCAATAGCATCATGAGAACTGGATTGCATTATGAGAAGGATTATAATAACCTTGGATTAGAAATGTGTTCTTGACTCATCACAAGGTGGATTTGTATTAAATCCGAATCTTCAAAACTTTAATCATTTCAAGTTGTAAATTATGTTTATAAGATAATACAAATGGAAGCTCATACATATAATATTCAATTAATCAAAGTTAATGGACAATGGTCTTCACCCTAAATGGACAATTAATTTTAGTTGGCAGAATCCCCAAAATCATGATTTTAAATCTAACCAGTATCATTGGGCAATGGGCATTCCCACCAAGAAAGAAGAACTCCAACCCAACTTGCACACCCTCCCAACAAACACCCAATAGTATATAAGGAAAGATTTAAAATCAATGCATAACCCTTCTTTTGAAACATGCATGAATGATCATTCTAACTCACATAGCATACAAACTACCGGTACCGGGCTTGCAGTTCCGGCAAAGTAGTCTTAATACTTACCATGCCCAAGAACCATCTCAGTCAGATTCAGGTTCAACCAAGCGCTTTACGCTTTAATCTTTTTTATTAAACCAAAGATTTGTCCTTTCCTTGTTTATTGCTTGGGTCCCACATTTACAGAATTTTTAGACTGGGAAAACAAAAACACTATATAATTTCCAAACAAATTAATCTCCGAGAGAGAGAGAGAGAGGGTTCGTTTCAGTGGGAGATAATGAACATGCCGGTGGTGGCAGAAGTGATCAACGTATGTTGGAACATCGCCCCCGCTCCCGCCCCTGATGCTGCCGCCTCTGCTCCCGCCCCTGACCTATTTTTTGTCTCTGTCGTTCTTGGTGTCCGATCTCCAGAATGATTCTGACTGTAACAAAAAAATATAAAAAAAAAAAAAATGAGAGAGGAAAGTTGAGCAAATCAGTTTCAGCTGTTTAAGTTTTTGTGTAAACTTATGAAAACTGAAAAGAAGTGGATAGACAAAGTCACAAAGCAAGTTAGAGAGAGAAAGAGAGAGAGAGAAGCTAAAAAGTGTAAGAGAAAAACGGTAATAAGACCAGTAAAGGAGAAGCATCACAACAGATCAAATCTAACCAAAGAAAAAGGAAGGAGAATCTGAATATGGACATCAAGTGGAATATTGATTTGATGCAAGAAAATACTCAAAAATCAGAAAGAAAAGGAAGCATTTTGAGAGTTAAAATGTTTTTGACCATAAAAATAGAAACCCCAAAACGGATATCCATCTGAGATTTTTTATGGATCTAACAGAACCCAGATTAATCTTGTGTTTCATCCTCACTTATCTTCGTTCCTTACCTTGTCAAAGGAGAAGGGCAGAACGTGGCAGCATAATTTGCTCCCTTAAATGTAAACGAACTAGTACGTCGTCATACCCGTAATTATACGATTTCGGACATGCCGACTTGAAGATCTCCGAATATACCGACGGCCGGCATGTCGCAGGCGTATTGAACTCACCACTGCAGCAGTATTCTGGGGTTCCAAACGCCATACAAGCATTCTTACATGCCTGGCCTTCTCCAACCCTTCAATCGTTCACGCACTCCGGGAATAAACACGTACCCTGTCCTCCCCTTCCTTCAATGCGCATGGATAGGTTGAACCCATCAACCAGGCTAATGTCGTAGGAGTCCTGACCATTAGTAAGGCCAAGCGAGAACTCGGCCATCGTCACCGGCGTGGCCAAATCCATATCGTTGCATTCGATCTGACCGGACCTACAGCCACCGGTTGCACAGCTGCCCTGACCAGACGCGTTAAAGTTGCAGCCTGTTCTGCCCCAGAATCTGCCATTCCAGCCTGTTGGAGCCTGAAAGGAACGAGAGCTGCCCTGTGTAAGCTCGAAACCTCTACTATCTAATATGGGCCCGCCCGCATTGTAGATTCCTGGCCAAACTGTGTAGTCGCAGTTGTTCACAACCGTTAATATGGTCCCTGAAACGCCTGGAAGGGAGTAATGGAGATTTATTATAAACACATCATTGTATGAGAATGTGAGAGGTAACCCAGATCATGAAATCAAAGACCCGAGAGGAAAATGTTGTGTTAACCTGTGAAGATTATTAACAGGAAAAAGCTTAGGGTCAGAGAGGAATAGCAGGAGAGGAGAAAATCCATACAGGCTTCTCCTTAGTTTTCTTCCGCTTTATTTTGTTGATCTTCCCTTTCCTTGTGATGTCCTTTTTTGTGGTATAAAGAAGATATCTAGAAGGTTTGGATGAAAAGGTAGTGCAGAATTTGACACGGTTATTGTGTGGATTATCTCTTCTTCTAAGTTCTGATGAGAGAAAATCTGCAACTGCATTACTTGGTTGGTAGAAATAGGTTAAATAGAAAGGAAGAAGGCGATGAAGAACAGTAACCCAGAGAAGACTTTTTGCCCTGATAGATCGCAGTGAGAGACAACGAGTTGAGAAGAGCTTGGGGAGAGGGAGAGACGAAGAAAATATTTTGAATTGGGAAAACGTGTGATCCATATTTTTATTCACTGCTAATTGACTGCTGACCAGGTCTGGTTTCTCGTAGAGAACCAAATATGAAGATTCAAGACCAAAAACTGAAGAAAGTCAATCCCTTATCGATTGGTGTACGGCGCTCATAGGCAACCAATCAAGCTCAATATCCACCCTCTTGGGAGGAAAAAAAAAGCCTATTTAGAGAACTTCAATACCCCTATTGGGTTTCAAATGTATTTACCCACACTCCTTTCCAACGTATCTTTTTTTGGTTCCTGATACGCTGTTTCCAAGTGTTTTACCTCACTCTTTTTCAATAAAAAATCATGTTTTTAACTCCCAAAAAACTAATTTAAAAAAAAAACTAAAAAAAATAAAAGTTTCCATGTGTTTCTAATTTCGATGTATCCAAATTTTGAACCTTACTCCATGCACACCATCTGAGTTCACATCTCCGCCCCACAGCACATCTTGGTCATGTATTGGGAACATCTTCTAATGATAGTATCAGTCCTGATGATGTCATCATCGAGAGATGTTTTTAATACACGGTGGGGATGTATTATGGGGTGGAGATGTGATCTCACATAGTCCCATTAAATTATATATTAGGGCAAGATCTAGTTCTATCTATTTCTGATTTACTTAATAAACATTAGGAACATAAATGTTAAGTACAAAAATGAAGGAGCTACTCTTCCAGAATTGGGTCCAATAGATAAGTAAAAACAACACACTAATCCAAGGGGCATGTACCCAATACCTGTGTTCTTGTAGATTGAGGATGCCAAATTCTGGAAACAATTTTCTAATTCCATAAATTTATTCAAGGGAATGAGAAAAACAAACTGCAAATCTTGATGGTTAAGCAAATTTGAAGACTAAAAACTAAGAAGAAGATTAAAAATTCTTCTTAGTTTCCAACAGAAATCAGTTGACAATTAAATATCAGAAACCTACTTGATTCTGGAAGGTGATCCCTTTAACCAACCTAATTGCCTTGCCACACCTTTTATCCATCAATGCATGTAAAACAAAAACATTTCTATTTGTTGTCCAATGAGTGTCCATCAATTAACCATCTCATAAGAAATGTTTACAAGTAGTGCTTAAGTCAATCATCAAAATATTCATTTTGTTTGCTTTCTAGCATTGAAACAATCCAAAGAATGACATTGGGATCCTAACACCAGAAACACAAGTCCTGATACATGTTTGAGAATCAAATATTTGAAAACATAAGAGAAGAAAACTATGAATTGAGATGATGAAAACACTCCTTTGGCCAAAGAGGATCTTTTGGAGCTCATAAAATTCAAGTCAATAGAAAATTCAAGAATTGACACTACTGGAAAATTCATCTATAGAGGCGGCCATAACTACTCTAAAAGCTTCCAAAATGCCTCTAAAAGGAATAAGAGGGGGTCAAGTGAGTGCCTCTAAAAGCCTTGTCACTAAATATTTTAGAGGTGATTGGTTGAGAATTAGAGGTGGATTTGTAATCCGCCTCTAAATTGAACTTTTAGAGGCACATATGATTGCCTCTATTGCGATGACGCTAAAAGTCCTATATAGAGGCAGTTATAAGTGCCTCTGGAAGTTTAATTTAGAGGCACATTCAAATGTCTTTGAATGATTTTGAGGCAATTTTATATGCCTCTAAAAAAATCTAAGAAGGATGATGGACTACGTTAGGTGGGATGAGCTTCTTTGGATCTAGCTTCATTTGTTTGCATGCTTCAATGAACAAAATATCAGCTGAACTACCACTATCAACCAAAATACGTCTTACCAAATAGTTAGCTATCACCATTTGTACTACGAGCGCATCATCATGTGATAACCTAACATCCTTTAGGTCCTCTTTGATGAAGGTGATGGGCTTTTCTACTTTCTATTTATTTGCAAATCGGCTTGCAACTCACTAACTGAAGCCATTCTGATAGTGTGGCTGCATCCCGCAGTAACTGAGGTGCCCACAATAACATTAATGGCAACGGTCGCTCCCTCTAGCACTACTTTCAGGATTTTATCTCTCCACTGGTCGACAAGGTAGTTCTCTTTCACAAACTGCTTGAGGTGGCCGCACTAGATCAGCTCCTTAATCTCATTCTTCGAAAGACATTTTTTACTTTTTAAATGTCACTTAACAACTGATTAACAAACTAGTTAATGATATGTACTGGATTGTCACATTTTGAAAGGAGTGGGGTTACAGTTAACGATATGTACTGAACAAGCAGGGGGGGACCCACCGTTTCAGGGGAGGAAAGACGAAACCAGCTACCAACGGTTATTGCTTTAGCTTAAAGGAGTGGGGTTACAGTTACACCAAGTAATGAAAGAGAGATGCTGATGCCCATAGGGCTAACAATGACATGGAGTGAGGGTGGGAGGTGGGACCTATTCATCGGTTGGCTCCGGTGTTCCCACGTTATGTGGTGTGGTGCACAGCGTGAGTGTGTGTAGGTTCGAGGGGATCATGCATGGTAACATCCCAAACTCAAAACATGCATGCAACAAAAATGAGAGCAGACTGCAAAGCATCCCCGCCGGTGAGCTACGCATGGTTCCAACGCGATCAACGTGATTGGAATAATGATTGGATGATTCGCGAGTGATTCACCAATCCTATCACATGATATGATCAAATTCATGTCCACGTGGTACATTAGAATAGCTACTGTTGAATTTAGGTGCCCAACTAGGGTGCATTTCAAAGGCTCACGTTATATAATCTACTTATATATCACGGTGATGTATTGCTTCATTACCTGTTTGTTTATATTTGCATTATGATATAGCAATTTCTATAAAATACTTCATATATTTTGATTGAATTTAATATCTTTTAAGATGGTGTTTGGAATCGTGGACGTTTTTGGGGATTGATTTTCAAGAAAAAACGTCTATGCTTCTAAGACTTGTTTTTCATTTAAAAAAAAAAAAAACGCTTCTACCACGTAGGTAGTGAGCAACACTATGTTGTTTGGTAAGATGATTTTCATCACCATTTTTCATGTATGTTCTGACAGGTAAGCACCATATAAGATATATATCAGTCAACCGTTGGGGGAAACGGTTTGCCGATGTCAATGGGGTCCTGATTTTTGTGGCACGCCCGATTTTTTAATAATCGGCTGAACCAAACAATGAGATACATGGGCGCTAGTTGAAATGCCTATGTGGATCCGACATGACACTGTTTTTTTGAAAAACAGCCACGGTTCCAAACATCCCCTAAATTAGTGTAGGTTTTCTTTAAAGCTATTAGGTCCTTTCTCCTTTATCCCTCTCATTCTCTAATTCGATCCCCCTTAAATCTTCTCTTCTTTCTCCTTTACCCTTTTCAGTTCTCTCATTCATTTTCTCTCTTTCCTCCCCTTTCCCTACCAAAGCCTCCCCATAGTCCACACGACATGAGAGTTCTAAATGCAAAAGAACTCTCTATTTGCAAATAAAATGTAACAGAGGCCAATTCTAAGTTGTCATATGACTATTTCCCTCTGTTCTATTCTGTATTTTCACTATGTTCTTTTTCTACTTTCCAAATTGTTCTGGACATTCTTAACTCACAGCAGTTGGAGATTAATTGTCAACATTCTAGATTTGTAGCAGCTTCATCATCTACATTCATAAACTAAGCTTAATTGGTATATTTAGTATATGTTTGGCATCAATGTTGTAGATACATCACTATTTTCTAAGAAAACAATGTCTTTTGTTTGGAAACATTGCTGCTAGGTAGGATGTTTCCTGGAACAACAACAATGTTTTTTGTTTGGTACCAATGCTCCAGGAAACATTTTCACATTGGTACCTACTATCTAGTGCCACGTCATGTTCCTATCACTGCCACCTCATATTCCTCTTGGCAGCAACGAGCTGCAGCTCTAGGAAATGCCAAATTTGGCATTGCTCCAAACCACACCTTCCCGATTTCCAAGGAGTGGCTTGGAGCACCTTTTTACGGAAAAACAGTTCCAAGTTAACAAGCGTTTCCTGGAGCACCATTTTTCCGACGTGGCATTGATTTGTCGTCATTTTCTAGAGCAACGCCATCGATGCCAAACAGATGCTATAATGATGTGTCACCGACCTGGAGCACCATTTCATCAGTTTTTTTGTTAAAGCGATTGGTTAGTTGATTTTCACCGGTTTTTTAATGAAAGTGGTTATTGGGATATGATCGAACCGGACAAGGTCTTGGGTCACGGTTCAACATCCAACACCAACTTGATTTAGGTTGGGCCATGTTAGACATGCTAGGGTAGGTTGGTCAAGTTTGAATGAATTAATGTATACATTTTTACCTAATCATCTTTTATTATGCTTTATAGCCCAAGTAGAATTGATTGAAAATATGTATAAATTTCATGTGTGTGTGTGTGTGTTTTGGGCCAACTCAAGGTTAAATTGGGCTTGGATTGTCAGATTGGTTAGGTTGGGCTCGGGCTACTTGGAAACTCAAACCAAACCCAACCCAAGTTTAAGTAAGGCCAAATTCTCTAGCCCAGGCTTAACTCACAGCCCAAAAACTTAGGTCCAACCTGTGCAAAAGCTCGAGTTGAGTTCGGGTTGGTTGTTAGGGTTTTACCCTAGCAAAACCTAAGGCCATGTTTGGTTCAATTCTCATTCTTTCTCATTCTTACTCAAGATGAAATTCTAAAATGGAAAAGAATGGGTAAAAATAGGTAGAATGAGAAAATATTGCTATGAACCAAATAGTTTTTTCCTAAAAATGAATTCTTTTTTAGACTGACAAGTGACCTATGTTGCTCATTTTCATTCTTCACACAAAAAAAAAAAGAAAAAATTGTGTCGGTATTCACAAACCGCCAGCCTAGGTCTTCAATAGTCAATGTTTACCAATTGGCATAGATGTTTTGTAAAAATACTTTTGTAAAAGTGATTTTTTAAAAGTATTTTCATAAAATTTTTCTATAAAAGTACTTTCGTAGAAGTGCTTTCATAAAAGTACTTTCATAAAAGTTCTTTTGTAAAAGTACTTCCATAAAAGTAATTTTGTAAAAGTGCTTTCGTAAAAGTGCTTTCATAAAA